AAAACCAAAGTTTGCCAGAAATATTGAAAGACCAGAGGAAAATTCACCAACAAACTGCCGAAAGTTCACCAAAAAACGACATATAGTACGACCACACTCAAATATTCCTTATTATTTTATTATTTTATTTTTTACGTAATGTAAGAACTAAGCGTGGGAAATGTATTATCAGTTATGTACAGTTTTTCCTTAAAACGATAGCTTTATTTATGGAATTATGTCACTGTGATAGTATCACGTGATTATTTCAAACTCATTCCCTCGATTTGACAACTTATTCCTCACCATATCAACATCCTTCCAAGCAAAACAGCATATAGCGACCAGTATTTTTAAACATTTGAGATCCCTGTCCCAATTGATGTATTGTAAAATTACATTATCAGTTACCCAATCATTATGGGATATCTCTAAGAAAACAAGGTTTATCAAGCCCGTACTTAAAATTCTTAATGCTTGAGGACCATCTTCGTAATTAGAACATCCAGCAATGGATAAATGGCTAAGTAGTGGTATAGTTGAAGTAATTAATTTGGATAATGGAATGATAGGAATGTTGCGAGTAAAGCTAACATTCAATCTACGAAGTTCAGGAACTTTAGAAATGTATCTTGTAGACAATGTTTTAGAATCTTTCATAGGCATTTTTCCAATCAAGGAAGAATCAGGAGATTTAAAATATCGAAATGATATAAGATCGGTATCATCACTTTCAGAACGATCAATAAAATCCTCCCAATCTTCTACAATATCATTCTCGATATCTCTATCATTAACTATCCTCCAAAAAGACCTTTTCAGACATTCTAATGAGATACTACTATTAGATATATCTAATTCATCATATTCCGAATCTATAAACAATTTAAGCAAATCATCAGTAAGAGGATTATGTATGCTTAAAGAGGAAAGAATATTTTGCTTTAGATGTGTAGGTAAATTTGAAAAGTATGGACATGAAATATAAGTTTTGATATTCAAGGTTATTGTATTTATGCAAATAGTAGAGAGTGATGGCAGATCAAAACTGGAAGACGAGAGTTCTGTAATTATAAGTCAAATGAAATATTATAACGTAAAAAATTTTATAAAATTGACAAAAATCTGAAAATTAAAACCAAGATTAAAGAATGGTAGAGAAATATTTCTCTCACCATCCCAAGCTTTTTTTCTTGCTTTTCGCACTTCAATTTGCGATTGTAAATTATCAGATTCGTTCATATTAGTTTCTAAGTACCACACACCTCGCCAACTTTTGGGTGGTAACGGACCTGATATACGCATTCTCAGATCGTTTTCAATACATTCCTTTTGTTCACCTTCAACTTGGTTTAAATAGTCTCTCATTAAATATTTGTACGCTGGAGTTGGCAACAGTTCAATTGATCTTTGATCTCTGTTTTTTGGTTGTGCTTCATGGCGTAGCTTATTAAGTAGTGTAGAAACCTGAGGCATTGAAACATGTTGGTTACCCTGTGTCGAGCTAAATTTCGAATTATCGACTGAAATTGCTTTGGAAAATGATTTTAGATGTTTCCGTCGTTGTTTAGAGTTTCTCATCGTTAGCTATTAGTAGAAAATTTATTAAATTGAAACCTAGGAATTAGTCTACTTAAATTAGTTGCGCATAGGCAGAAGTTCGTTTGATTGGCTAATTTTTGAAGATCTAAATGTAAATATTAGCCAATCAAATTACATAATTTTTAAAGAATAGTTAGGCAGCAGTATTTACTATTCGCACTTCTTACATATTCTTATCTATAGACCAAAACTCTTATCTACAATTAATAAACCAAGTACACTTAAAAACCAAACCAATTCAAATATTTCTGATATCAGATATAGTATCTTAAATCTAGCTTAAGCTTCATAATAATAGTATTTATATAAGTAATTTTGTTTTTTTTTGTTTTTTTTTTTATTAAGGTTGTTTTTTTGGCTAATTGGATTTTATTAATTTGTTATTATGGAGTTACCGAAATAGTAATCTCTTAAGATTTTATAATTACATGATAAGTATATAACAAGTTACATATATAATTTTAATCATTGTTTAATTTAAGTAGTCTGCTATATAGATAATCGATCATCTGTTAGTTTTACACTATGCTGCTATATCTTTAACCTGTTTGTAAATTATTTATTTAAACATTCTGATTATTAATTTTTCTTCTTATTCCAAATTAACATTACTACTATATTTAATTGTTTAAGTTAGTTAATTTGTTTATAGATCTATTTATCACATAATTTAGATCTTCTTAAGATATATATTAAAAGGTCTGGTGATCTTAGTGTAGTGGTTAGGTTGCTGGACCGCTATGCAAGAGGTCTAGGGTTCAAATTCCACTATATACAGAATTGAATAATTATCTAGACATCTATATCCAACTTACGGTAAACTCTGCTCGTTTCTGGGGTTGTAACCCTGTAAATCATATTGTACCAATACCAATCAGGTATTGGAAGTGTGATGAGGCATTTGGTAAGGCGTAACTTTATATGAATAAATCTTGATAGGATCTATGGGCAGGAGACCTGCATGATAGAAATCCTGAGTTAGGTGAAGTAGTACAGATTTCGACAATCATACCAGTTAACATCTGATCTGAGAAAGGAAATCTGTGTATGAAAAGATCAGTGAAAAAGATATGAGTAAGTTCTGAGTACAGAAGAATCGATAAAACAGGTGTGAGTAAGTCCATTACACGAGATCGTACAGCAACACCAACTTGGCTTGGTGGCTAACTGGATTTGGGAGGATCTGTCTCATATGATATCTAGTGGCAAAGCAGACAATACCAAGTAACAGATTTAGGAGAATCTACTTTATGTAATATCTAGAAGCACGAATGACTAACTTGGTGGAAGACCACAGTAGGAACTAGGTTTGTACGAACATCGAACAAGGGTATATGCAAGCTAGATTAGAATATAGTGTAGCATAGTTGAGTATCACAGTACTCATCGATTTGGAAGTTGGTGAAAGGGTTCCTGAGATGGGCCTAGGCTTCAAATCATAAAGTTTGTGGACATATGTCAGCTCGGATGTCTTTCTGGAGAAGTAGTACGGAGTTAGGCTAGCTTGGTATAAATAGATAGAAACAGGTAAGTCATAGAGCCAGAAGGGTTAAATAGGGAATCTTCAAATAGATTTCAGATACTGCAACTAGTGTAGAACCTTCGGGCAGTGTTGTACACAGACGCTGTTCATGCATATTACTTGGACACAGACAAATTTAGACATTGTCTAATGTCTGTGTCCACCATATGTCCAAACATATAGATTGTTACCAGACATTGTTCGCATAATATATGGCGAACGCAGACATCTAGCGGACATTGTCCGCTGGACATTGTCCAACGTCCAAGCATTTAATTGGACGAGTATTTCATTCTAACAATACACATCCAATTAAATGCTTGGACATTGGACAATGTTCAGCGGACATTGTTTTTTTTTTATTACTGTTTTTTTTATTTGACAAAAATCAGATATGTATCATGATCATGTTTTTATTTTTTTGGATCTATTCTTTGAAGCGTCTTGCGTCATTTTTTGTAGGACTTTCAACTTTCAGTAGGACTTTCGACTTTTAACTTTCAGTAGGACTTCTGATTATTAGTAGGATTTTCGGCAGTAGGATCTCTGGTTCTCAGACTAAAACTCTCACGCCTTCTTTCGAGTAGCCTTTAGTGAGTCTTATGTTTTTGTTGTAGAAATATTTTGATCTTCTGGTGCTTTATTGGTAAGTACTTTCTTCCAATCTTTTAGCGTTTTTCTAGTAAACCTTGTAGACTTTTAATGATCTTTTGAAATTAGCTGAACTTTCTCTTCCAATCTTTTGATGATTTGTTGATGAACTTTCTTGTGAGCTTTTCTCTGGTCTTTCGGTGTTTTTTGGTGAACTTTCGGCAGTTTGTTGGTGAATTTTCCTCTGGTCTTTCAATATTTCTGGCAAACTTTGGTTTT